ACAGGGTTTCTCCTAGACTTTTCCCCATGTATGTTTTTAACTCCTTTTTAAGCAGTGATAAACCTGGTTCCCATTACCCTCAATATATGTATTTTGTAAAGCTTAGAATAAAAGTTTCAGAATTTATTACCAGACCACTGTGAAAAAAACAAATTATCTATGGCAGTATTTTTCACTTAAAGTAAATTTTATATACAGTAAAATACACAAAATTTAGGTGTATGACTTAGTGTTTTGACAAATATTTGCACCCACATAATCCACACCCCTGTCATTCCCATTCTCCGGAGAAATCTCCCTATAACCCTCCTCAAGTAATTTTGCACCTACCCCAGAAAAGATCACAACCTATTTTTTTTTTAACAAGTTAGTTTTGTCTCTTCCAGAATGGTGCATAAAGAAAATCATTCAGTTTTCAGTCTTTTGTTTTTGGCTTCTTTTATTCCACAGATCATCTGTAATTCATTTAAGTTGTTAAATGGGATTGCTATGATAAAGTGAAGGCTCTGTTTTATAAAATAACAATCTTTTTCCCAAAAGTGTTATACCATTTTACATTCCCACTAGCAATGTATGAATATTCCAGTTGTACATTTTATACAATATTTGGTGTCACTGATCATTTTTCTGTCAGCCATTCTAGTGGAAGTGTATTGATATACCATTGTACTTTTAATTTGCCTTTTCCTGATAATGATGTTTAGCATATTTATATGCGTTTATTGGCCATGTGTGTGTTCAAGATTTGTGTCCATTTTTAAAATTGGGTTGTTCATCTTTTCATTTCTGTACTTTATAGGAGTTATTTATTCTTTGTACAAGTACTTTGTCAAATGTATTGCAAATATTTTCCTTCACTGTGTGACTTATTTCCTTAATAGTGTCCTTTGATAAACAGTTTTAACTTAATAAAGTCTAAATTGTAATACTTTCCTTTTTTCATCAATGCTTTCCGTATTTTGAAGAAATCTTTGACTACCTCCAGGTTAAGATATTCTCCTGTACTTTCTTCTAGAAGTTTGAGCTTTCCTTAGCTTCATGTTCAATCTAAATATTTATGCATGGTGTGAGAAAGCGATCAATATTTTTTTGTATACATTTATTCAGTTGTTCAAGAACCATTTGTTAAACCAGTTTTTCATTTATTGTTAAATTCCTTCACCACCTTGGTAAAGAAACTAACTAACCATTAAAGTGGGGATCTATTTATGGACTCCATTCTGTCTTTTTGAATGATTTACCGATTCTTATGCCAACAGCACACTGTCTTAATTACTATAGTCTTACAGTACACGTTGAGGTCAGGTAATTTAAGTCCTCCAACTTTGCTCTTTCTTTTCAAAATTGTTTTCATTGCTTTAGTTCCTTTGCCTTGCCATATAAATTTTATTTTTTTAAAGATTTTGAGTGAGAGATAGAGCAAGAGAGAGTGAGTGTGTGCACATGAGCAGTGGGGAGAGGGAGCAGCAGACTCCCTGCTGAGCAGGGAGTCAAGGAGGGGCTCAATCCCAGGACCCCAGGATCATGACCTGATCAGAAGGCAGACACTTAACTGACAGAAACTACTTCTAAATTTCTCTCTCTCTTTCTCTCTCTCTTTTAAGCCTGATAAGGTTATTGTGGGTTTTTTAAACTGCTGAACTGAAATCAAATTTAAATCTTAAGTATTCTGATTCTTCCAACATATCATCATGATATATAACTCCGCTTATTTAGGTCTTTCTTAATTTCTCTTTATGTTTTCTAATCTTCAGTGTAGAAACCTTGCACATATTTATCCCTAAGTAGTTAATAATTGGAATGCTAACAAAAATGCCATTTCAATGTCCAATAGTTAACTTCAAGTAAATAGAAAATTGAGCTTATTGAAATTGTACCCTGAAAAATTATTAAATTCACTTAATGAACTTGAGTAGTAGCTTTGCAAATTCCCTAATATTTTGTACATAGACAATAATGCCATCTAGGACTTGAGATTTTATTTCCAATCTTCATAACTTCTCTTTTTCTTGCATTTTTTCTGCTAACTGGAATTCTACAGAATGACTATCCTTCTATTGTTTCTAATCTTAGGAGAAAATCATTCAATACTTTACCATTAAGTATGATGTTGGCTGAAGGCTTTACATCGATGTCCCTTATCAGACCAAAGACATTCCCTTCTACACTTAGCTTTTTTTAATATAAAAATGAATATTAAGTGTCGTTAGGTACTTTATCTGAATAATAAGAAATAATAAATTTTCCTTTTATTTCATTAACATAGCAAGTATTGGTATCATTCATTTATATATATTGTTGAATTCTATTTGCTCCTGCTTTCCTAAGGACTATTTTCAATCTGTAGTCATGAGGGATATTGGTTTATAAATATTGGTTTTCTCTTATAACATCCTTGTCAGTTTTGGAATGAAGATTATCTTGACTTTACAAAATAAACTGAGAAGTATTCCCTCTTTCCTTATTTCCTGAGTTTGTGTAAGTTTGGCATTAGTCCTTCCTTAAATATTTAATAAATATTTTGATAAATTTAATACCAATTAAACACATAAGACTAAAGTTTTCTTTGTAAGAAGAATTTTGGTAATGAATTTAATTACTTGATAGACATGAAGTTATTTATGTTTTCTACTTTTTTATTTATTTATTAATTTATGATAGTCATACAGAGAGAGAGAGAGAGAGGCAGAGACATAGGCAGAGGGAGAAGCAGGCTCCATGCACTGGGAGCCAGACGTGGGATTCGATCCCGGGTCTCCAGGATTGCGCCCTGGGCCAAAGGCAGGCACCAAACTGCTGCGCCACCCAAAGATCCCTGTTTTCTACTTTTTCAATTAATGTTCATAAGTTGCACTCTTTCAGAGTATTTTTCATTTCATCTGAGCTGTTTATTACCATAAAGTTATTCATAATATCTCATCTTTTTAATGTATACAGGATATATAGTTGTATCCTTTCATTCCCTAATACTGGAATTTTTGTCTCCCTCCTCCCTTTTTACACTATCCTTGAAAAATATTTATTTTATTAATAGATATTATTCAACTCCTAGCTTTTTCTCTATTGTAATTTCTGTTCCCTATGTAATTTCCACTATTATTTTTTCTAATTTCTTTTTAATTACTTTGCTTTTTTAAAGTTTTTTTATAAATTTATTTTTTATTGGTGTTTAATTTGCCAGCATATAGAATAACACCCAGTGCTCATCCCATCAAGTGCCCCCCCTCAGTGCCTGTCACCCAGTCACCACCACCCCCTACCCTCCTCCCCTTCCACCACCCCTAGTTCATTTCCCAGAGTTAGGAGTCTTTATGTTCTGTCTCCCTTTCTGATATTTCCCACTCATTTTTTCTCCTTTCCCCTTTATTCTCTTTCACTATTTTTTATATTCCCCTAATGAATGAGACCATATAATGTTGTCCTTCTCCGATTGACTTCACTCAGCATAAAACCCTCCAGTTCCATCCACATCGAAGCAAATGGTGGGTATTTGTCGTTTCTAATGGCTGAGGAATATTCCATTGTATACATAAACCACATCTTCTTTATCAATTCATCTTTCGATGGACACCGAGGCTCCTTCCACAGTTTGGCTATTGTGGACATTGCTGCTATAAACATCGGGGTGCAGGTGTCCCGGCGTTTCATTGCATCTGTATCTTTGGGGTAAATCCCCAGCAGTGCAATTGCTGGGTCGTAGGACAGATCTATTTTTTTAAGTTTTTATTTAAATTTCAGTTAGTGGAACAGTGTAATATTAGTTTCAGGTGTACAGTTTAGTGATTCAGCACTTTATGTATCACACAGTGTTCATCACAAGTGCACTCCTTCATCCCCATCATCTGTTCCACCCATCCCCCCACCTACCTCCCCTCTGGCAACTAGCCGATTGTTCTCTAGAGTTAAGAGTCTGTATCTTGGTTTGCTCCCTCTTTTTTATCCCTTTGCTCATCTGTTTTCTTAAATTGCACATGAGTGAAATCAAATGGTATTTGTCTTTCATTGACTTATTTTGCTTATCATTATACTCTCTAGCTTGATCCATGTTACTACAAATGACAAGATTTCATTTTTAATGGCTATTATTCTATTACATATACTATAGTATATATATACTATATATGTATAGAATTATTCTATTATATATATAATGGAATATGTGTATATATATATTATTCTATTTGAATTAGTATTTTTGTATCCTTTGGGTAAATACCTAGTAATACAATTGCTGGGTTGGAGGGTAGTTCTATTTTTAATGTTTTAAGGACCCTCCATACTGTTTTCCAGAATGGCTACACCAGTTTGCATTTCTACCAACATTGCAAGAGGGTTCCACTCTCTCCACATCCTTATCAACACCTGTGCATTAATTTAGCCATTCTGATAGGTGTGAGGCAATATCTCATTGTAGTTTTGATTTGTTTTTCCCTGGTGATGAGTGATGTTGACCATCTTTCCATGTGTCTGTTGGCCATTGGGATGTCTTCTCTGGAGAAGTGTCTAGGTCTTCTGCCCATTTTTAAAGTTGAATTGTTAATTTTTTGGGGGGTGTTGAGTTTTATAAGTTCTTCATATATTTTGGATAACTAAACTTTTATCAGATGTCATTCACAAATATTTTCTCCCATTCCCTAAGTTGTCTTTTAGTTTTATTGATTGTTAGCTGCTTTGATGGAATCACTGATAGATTATAATTATTTCTTCTTTCAAGATATAAACATTTAGAACAAATGTTTCCTCTAAGCACTGCTTTAGTTGCATCCCACAAATTTTGACCTATTTTTGTTTTTTATTCCATTCAAATGTTAAACTTCTTTTATGATTTCTTCTTTTACTCATACATTCTTTAGACATCTGTTAATTTCCAAATAACTGGGGCTTTCTAGGTATCTTATTGTTGATTTGTACTTTGTGCTTTGTGTATTCTGCATCTCTATTATTGGGCAAATACACATTTATGTTATCTTGGGAATTCAGAAATTGTATTTTATACTTACCCACATTATTTCCATTTCCTGTGTTCTTTGTTCCTTCTTATCGATCTGAGTTTCCATCTACCATGATTTCTGTCATAGGTGAGGATAAATCAGAGATGACCAAAAAAAGAGAGAAAGAAAGAAATTTCTTTAGTATTTATCATAGGACAGGTCTATTAGTGATGAATTCCCTAGTTGCATTTATCTGAAAAAAAATTTTAATAATTTATTTGAGAAAAAATGACAGAGGTAGCTAAAGAGAGCACAAGTGAGGAGAGGGAGAAACAGAGCCCCCTGCTGAGCAGGGAGCCCAATGCAGAGATTGATCACAGGACCCTGAGATCATGACCTGAGCCAAAGGCAGATACTTAACCAACTGAGCCACCCAGGCATCCTATCTGAAATGTTTTTATTTCACTTTCATGTGTTAAGCATTTTTTCTGGATACAGAATTTTGCATTGATTCTTTTCTTTCTTAGTATTTTAAACATGTTTCTCCATTGTCTTTAAGTTTCAATGCTTCTGATGAGAAGTCAGCCATCATTTATATCATTAGTCCCTTTATGAAAGGTGTCATTTTTCTCTGGTTGCTTTCAAGATATTTTTTAGATCTTTAGATTTGAGCACTTTGTCCATATGGGAGTTTGATTTTTTAATTTAGGACTCACTGAACATTTTGAATCTGTAATATTATATTTTTCTCTAAATTTGTTAAGTTTTCAGTCATTTCTTCAAATATTATTTGTTTCCATTCTCCCTCTCCATACTTTTCTCTCCTCAACTTCTAGGACTCCAATTGCACATATATTAGAATATTTCCTATGGTTTCACAGAAATAATTGAGATTCCATTCATTATTTTTAATAGTTTTTCTTCTGAGTTCCTCAGATTGGACAATTTCTTTTGATCTAAAGTTCACTGAATGCTTCTACTATTCCCAATATGCTCATAAGATTTCCACTGAAGTTGATTTCAGTTGCTGAAACTTTCAGTTTGACAATTTCCATTTGGTTCTTGTTTATAATTTTCACTTTTTGGCTGAGATTTCCCATCTGTTCATTATTTCAATTTCTTTTAAGGTTTTAAACACATTTTAATAGCTTCATTAAAATCTTTACTAATTTTACCATTTATGTCATCTTGGGATTGATTTCAAAATGAACTACTTTCTTTCATTGCTAGGAAACATTCTGCTCTTTCTTCACATGTCTAATAATTTTTTTAGTGTTCTGGACCTAGTAAACATTACATTGTAAAGTCTCTGGATTCTGTTACCTTTCTCTGAAGAGTATTTACTTCTGTTCTTGCAAATATTTAACTTGACTGGATTCAAATTCAAAACATGCCTCCAGTGTGGTGGGCAAGCTGACATCTCTGCTTGATTACTTTGGCCTTTATTCTTTCTCATCAGGCTCCCTTACAACCCCGTCACCCCATCTACTCATGTGCAGTTCAAGGTTAGGCAAGAATTGACGTTATTTGCAGATTTAGGGCTTTTCCTTATGTGGCTTTTTTTCTGGGATTTCTTTTTTTTTTTTTTTAACCTGCCTTGGCACTTCTGACTTCATCTTCTGACTGCTCAACCCATTAACACTATAGCTTATTACTTAGTTTCTAGTTTTTCCAAGCCTTACAGCTAGAGATCTCTCTCAAACCAAAAGCTATGTAAACTCACACTTACCACCCAGTGCAGCATCCAATTTCTTCTCCAGTTCCAGCCTTCAAATGTTTGTTGTGAATTTTTCTCAAGAGTTTATAATTATTATCTGTAAGGAGAGTTTGTCCAATGTAAGCGACTTTGCTACCACAGTGGATTTCCTTCACTGTGTTTCAGAACAGATTATGTATGTTCCATTCAATAGGTGCCAAGCCAGAGTATACTCTAAAAGTCCAGTTTTATTAGTACTGCAATAATAATAGTATGCATGCATGTGTACTATTTTTAAATATTTATTTTGGGATATACAGTGCAATATATCAGCTAAAAATAAAAAACCGTCAAGATAATCAACCTAGATAAAAATCTCGGCCCTACCAGCACATATACTCACCCTATGATTTTGAGCTATTAAAATTTTCTAAATTTTTGTTTTTTCATTTATAATATGGGAATAATAAAATACCTGCCTCTGTATACTCTGAACTCAGGGCTGATATTCCATAAATGCTCTCTGGTAAAGTCCTGCTAATTATTTACAACCATTCTAATTTGTCAGTGTCTGTGCAGTAACAGTTGTTAAATATTTTTAAATTTATACTTTCCACATCCACTGCCAAATCCCTTCTCTTTTGCCAGCATCCATTTCTTATATCTAGAAGAAGTAAGCAGAAGTTGACTGTGGATTGCTGGAGAAACTTTGCTTCCTCATGAAAGCAACAAACATGACAGGTCTTAGCCCTTCCATCTTAATCCTGTGTAAAGTACAGGCATAATATTCAGAGCTACTGTAGCTATTTTAAGTCTATGATGGAAAGAGCAAGAGAATTTCAGTGACGTTAGTCCTGAAACCCATGTGATGTCAAATCAATGTCAACAGCATTTTCTCTACACTTGTTAAATATTCTTCTATTTAGGTTACTATTCACTAGATATTCAACTACCTGATACACTGCTTCTTCATGGGGTTGTTTTGAATATAATTATGATACTAAATGTAAAATGCTTAGCTAGGAATGTAACAACAGTGAATATCAGTAGGGTATAATTTTTATTTACTTATTTATAATCTGACTTCCTTCCAAAATTATTACAGCTTATATAAACATACATAATCAGCAGGAAAAAATAGTTAAGGGAAAAAACTACAAAGTATAATAATAGAATTACTAAAGTTAAAACATAATACACATTCTTAAAGATACATATCATAATTGCTACATTCATTCCCCAATTGAGTTTCCTAGCAGATAAGGGAAAATAGGAAACAAGTCCTTCAGTATTAAGAACCAAAATGAAGTTTTCCAGGTCAAGTAATAGCAAATGTGAGAGAGTAATTACAACTTGGAGGTTAAATTCCCAAGATGTAACCTGAGCTTTTGAATTATTTCCCACTAATTCAGATTAATGGATTTTAATAGAACACCCAGACTTCACATAACACGTTTTATCCCAACCATATAGAAAAAGAATGATAAAAATTTAGGTTGTGATAAAAATTATGTTTTTTACATGAAAAAACTGTATCTGCTTTAAGTTGATAACAAAAACAACAAATTAAAAAAATCATTATTTTCTTAAACATTTATATTGGCATACTGAGGGGAAAAAAAACAGTCTGGGCAGCTTCTGAAAGACTCTACCACACCCAACTACTTTAATTTTTAAATATAACTTTTACTACCTTTGCAGTAACCAAGAAATATTCACATATAATAAATACCCAAATGTTGAGGCAATCTTGGGGAGGGATGGAGGGGGTTCTCAAGAGAAGCAATAACATTTTCTCTGTTGGGCTGTTTCCTATTTATTGTGAAGGGTATAATACCCATCAAGGAATTGTTAGTAAGTGTGGAATCAAAGCCTGCTCTACGAAAATGTGAACCTCTTTTCTAGGAAGATGTTCAGACCCCTCAAAAGCAAGGAGTATCTGGATTTTCTGAGACTTTCCAAAAGAAAATTTCAACATGTCTTTTAGAAATTTTGGAGTATTTCTTGTACTCAGAAAGTGTGCAAGGCAGAAAGTCCTGGTAGTTTGTGATTGCTCATTAATTCAAGGTAAATATGCACAAGAAACATCAGCTATCACATATTTTAGTGGAGGGAGAGCAAGGAGAGAAGAATGTCAGAACAAAAGCAATGGGGAAGGGAATAGGTCTTATCTTTGGTCCTGGAGTTTTCTTCTCAAGATGAGCAGGTAGTAAAGGCTCCAAGTTGAGCTTGTGAAATAGCTGCAGGAACTAAATTCCTCTAGTTCCTCTAGTTCCTAGATTCCTAGAGGAATCTAGTTCCTGCAGCTATTTCACAAGCTCAACTTGGAGGAGCAAATGCCTGGTGCCCTGCTCTCCAGATATCTTGAAAAAGGTACCATCCTAATAATAAGCAAAGATACAGCAGAGCTTCAAATTGTGAGTTTCAAGTAAATTTTCAAAATTGTGGTTTTTAAATCACCAGATGTATGGGGTCATTTGGGGCAGAAAGCTGTATCTAAGTAAATAAATGAAACATATCTATTTATTCTATTTCAAGATTGTTTCAGTGCTTAATGATAAATTCTGTGGTAGGAGTAAAAATCCTTACAAGTCTTAACACATAATTTGGAAACCATCTCTTCTCACTTATCCTAATTCATGAGATCAGGATTCTGAGGGCAGAGACCATTTGGTTTTCCTGAAGCCATGCTGTGAGAACAAGAAATGGCCGTGTTTAGTTGTCATGACCTCCTGCAGGGGAGATGGCCAACCTTGAACTCTAGTGTCAGCTGCTTCAGACACATTTTGCTCAGTTTTATGAATGGATGCACTAACTAAAAAGCATCCTAATCTGCTAATTATTTGTAAACCAACTTATATCCACTCTTTTCTCGATTTAGGTTTTGAAGCAATTCTGCAGCCACTGAAATTCTGTAGTTCACCCTGTAGTTCCATATTTTTTTTTCACCTTCAAAGAATACAAGGAGTGTTTCAGCCTACATTTTAAATATGAAGAAGCAAATGTGTGAAGTGAGGAAATAAAAATACACTGAGGTTTTTTTTGGAACCTATATACTTTCAAAGCATGCATATCTTAAGAAGTAAGCAAGCTCCATGAGAATACAGCCCTCGCCTCTCTTATTCATCAGTAATATAGCCCCAATACTTTTATCAGTGCCTGACATATAGTAGGCACTCAACAAACATTCCTCGAATAAACATAAATTTTTTAAGAGATGATATTATACATCTAAACCGTTTTCTCTCTCATGTTAACCATGACCTTTTAAAAAATAAAGAAATTAATCTGTCGCTGCAACAGCCAAGAATGAGCTCAAAATTCCTCCCAGCTTCTCCTAACTACTCATCAAGATGGTGGGTATCACCTGTCAGGTGATTCCAGGCCCAAGCTGGAATCACCGCTGTCTTCTTCATCAATCTACAACATGTATGCCTCATACCTCCCTCTGAATTTGAGGAAGGTAAATTTTATTCTTTAAGTAAATATAGAATTAAAGTGAAGAGATAAGGAACAATCCCATCAAAGAATTTTATCACCTGCTTTGCTTTAAATATGCCAATATGGGCTTTGAAGACTGATTTTCCAAAAATAATACAGAGGGCTTGATTTGTTTTTTTATTATTGATGCATTAAAGGGTACTGGTAATCTTTGAAAGCAAAACAAAATCACATTTTTAGAAAGGATATTTAAAATGCACCTACATGCATGGATAAATATATTCCTTGCTGACACTGAAGCTTTGGGCTGTAATAAAGTATGTTAGGCATCTCTCAAGCTCTAAAGAATAAATGGGAAATGACCCCAGCCCCAGTGAGCTCAGATCATCAGTCCCTGCTGATTTTGCCTGGCTAATTCGGACTTCACCTTTACAACTTGCGTTTCACCTTCCGAAAGACATCCCCCTCCCTATAGAGATTGGTGAGGGCATCCCTTGAAAATCCTTCAGTTAAGCTTTGTGGAGCTAGAGCTCTATCCCCCTCCCTTCTCCTCCCAGCACAGGAAGCAGCACTCAAGCAGTTAACCACCTTCGAAGTATCTTGGTAATGCATTCCTGCCACATCACTCCTCAGCTCTCCAGAATCCGATTTCTGAAAATGTCTCTACACGGAGACATTCACTCCCCTGGCTCAACAGAAAGGGCTGCAGTCAGGGCCAAGGAGAGTAAAAAATGAGCTTACAAATGTGGGGCAGGGCACACGGTGGGTGTTTTTTTTTTTTTTCCTTTGACTCAGAGAACTCCAGCGTCCCCATGACAGTTAGAGACTTAGGCAACCACCTTTAACATGCACATGAAGGAGGAGATCAGTTCCCTAAATGCAACCAGCTGGCAAAGTCCCTAAACAAATTATTAGGAAGTGTGTGGGGTGGGGAAGCATTTAGTCTCCATTATTAACCTGTGGGAGGTTATATACGTGCAACCGTAAGCAGATACACTTATTATTTTATCTCCAGTTGCCTCCAAGTGCTGGCATTTGATGTGTTAAAGTCAAAGGACTATGGCAGTTAGGGTTCTAAGTAAAATAATCTTAAGGTATTTGACCGAAGGTATATGCTAGCTCTGTGTGCTGAGGAGAAAGAGCAAGTGAAGCTGAAAAAGAAGGGGATGGGTCTTAGAGAATGCATTAAGCCAAAATAACACACTTGTCCTGACCATCCTAGGTAGCGTGTCTCAATAATTAGGAAGAGCAATACCCTTCTGTGGGTTGGAAAAGCCAGTAAGAAGGAGACTTAAGCTAAGCTAGCATACATCAAAAATAATTGACAATGGTTAGGCTTCATTGTGGAGAAGCCTGCACTGGCATTGCAGCCACCAGCCCACCACCCACCTAAGAATTATTATTTGAAAAGGATGTCAGAGGATTATAGAAGATCCTTGTGTCTGCTCCAATTAGCATCAACACTTTTTGCTGCTTGCTCACTGAGCATTCACTATGTAATGATGAAAACATACTGACCCCTGCTGGAACTGTGTAGAACTGCAATCTATTCCCTTCTCCGGACTGACCTACAAGGCAGGCATCCTTTTTGATGTGCCCAGGCTCAGGGGTTGTGTCTATTTCAGGGACGATTCTGGATCACAATGGCAATATCAAAATAATTAATTGAAAAGATTG